CGGAGCGGTTCCCTCCCGCCTTTCGCGCTGTGGCGTCCCCGCGGGACTGGACGTGCCGTGAGGAGGGCGGGCGCACCGGTGAGCAGCAGAGCCGGGCGTCCGAGCACCGCTCCTTGCCGCTGTTGGCTTCGTTAGTGGCGCTGCGAATAAACGGCCACGTATAAAATAGTTGTGGGGCGTTTCTGGAATTTTGTTTTGTTTTCAAGTTAATTTATTTTGTTTATTTTTTAAAGAAGAATAAGAAAAGAAAGCGTACAGAAGAAGTGGAGAAGGCGTCAGAAGACCAGAAGTCGTCTGTCATACAGGAACCTCCTATCAAAGCAAAGAAAGCCAGAAAGAAGGAACTTTCAAAAGCAGAGAAAACAGTGGAAAACAGGTGAGTAGATGATGCCTCTTTGTAGAAAGATTAAAAAACCCAACATCTTGATTAATCGTAAGATCACGAGTTCAGTAAAGTTCTGTTCTACTATCTGTCTTGAACCTTGTGTTTAAAAAGTTTATTTTTAAGAAGATTGTGGAAAATTTCTGTAGTTGCCCCAGAAGGTAGTAAATACTTCCAACTGCTTGAAGTTCTAGGTCCGTGAAGTGCAAGTCCCCTGTTAGAGAGCTGAGGGGCCTAGAGTTGTAGACTTGGACACAAAGTTCTCTCTGGCACAGCGTGGTGCTTTCTGGCTGTAGTTGGCTTTGTCTGGCAGAGCTGCAGTCAGCGGTGCAGGGGCGGCAGCAGGGCACCAGGCAGAGGGAGTTGTCCTCAGCGCATTTGCCCTCTGCTGTGACACACAACTACTCTGCCACAATTTCCGCTCTAGTAGACACGCAGGGTTGGACCAAGATGCTGTCAATACTGGCAGGAAGATAGTCTCTGTGCAATGAAGTTTGGATAATGAAGTTTGCTTGATTGCAGCTTGAGGCTAATACTGTGTCCCCTCTCTGGCACTGTGTGCTTTTGCATCTTCTGTGCCCGTGAAACTTCTGTTTTGGTATCGGTAGCCTTCCTGAGGCTTCTTCAGGTCTACTTATTGTTCATGCTACCATGGCAAGTTTGGATAGACAGAGATTTGTTAGTGTATGGATGGATGCCAAAGGATTGTCTGTGATGAGTGCCCTGGATACTGGGAAGAATTAAATCTCTCCTTCTTTCTAGTGTGCAAAGACTAATTTTTTTCCCCCTCTTCAATTTTAGAGGATATTAAATGATTGACTTCTGAATTCGTTCTTTATTACACCTACTAAATAGTGAGTGCAATGTCCTGGGGGCAGCAAATAATTTCCCATGTTACAGGATGGTCGTATGTGATTGTTTGATGCATAATAAGAAGCATAACGTTTGAAATTTAGTGTTGAATATAAGTTAAAAAATTTATTTTGGAGGCTTCAATTCTTTGACCTCGAGACTTGTTTTTCCCCACCAGTTATAATTTGCTTGTCTTTTTCTGGTAAGAGAGAGCGCTTTGGAGCGAGCGGATGAAGAGGAGGAGCAAAAACTGTTTCAAAACAAAGTGAAGAAAAAAAAAGCTGCTTCTCATGCCATCACCAAAAGTGTTGTTAATTCAGACACAGGCACCACTGTCAAACAACAAAAGAAAAAAAAGGTGGCGGATGAAACGGTAGACAGAAGAACAGTGTTTGTTGGAAACTTACCTGTCAGCTGTACTGTTCAGGTATGTGAGTGGATTCTGGCAGCTAAAGCAATGAGAAGGATTACAACCGTCCTTAGTTTGAGGGGATGTTTCCAGCTGAGAAGTCACAAGTATTTGTGACTAAAGCTGCTTTTGGGAAAGTAGGAAATAATGCTCATTATCAAAAACCATTAGAGGCAATCTCTTTTGGTGTACCAAGTTAGGCTTTTTACAGCAGTGGAGGCAGTTGCTTTTTCTTTAGTAGAGTTGGTTAGTTTCTTTTTCAGTGAAAAGTGACCTAAGTGGGAACTACAATTAAAAAGCTTCTAATTTTGAATGCAAATAATACTTCTGATTGTTGCATAAAATACGTTAAATTGTTAAATTTATACTTGCTTTCATAGTAAGGGGTATGAATTCAGTTCTGGCAATCTGTAGAATAGGGAGCTGCCACAGGAAACACCGAAACAGTTACAAATTACTTGTGTGTTTTTAGTAGCCCTTTAACAGACCTTGTATAAGTAAAATGAAAATGGTGTAAAAACAATCTTACTAATAAATATTCAACAGTAATTGTTATTGCCAGAATGCAAAAACGTATTGAATATTTATAGTATCTTCTGTTTAGGTGCTGAAATCTCTTTTTAAAGAGTATGGACAAATAAAATCCATTCGATTCCGGTCTTTGGTAGGTATTTCCTCTAATTATGTTTCTGATCTGAATTTGTTCAGAATGGGGTTTGGGTGGGTATTTTTTGGCATTAGAAGAATCCCTGGAGATTTTACCACAGAGGCAGCACAGATGCATCTTTCCATTCATCACATTTTACTCTTCCTGTAGCAGCAGCTGATACTATCAGAGCTCTATTTTCTCTTTAAGAAGAATAGGTTTTTTATTGCTTGTTTAATTTAGGTATTACTTACCTGTTTTTAAATCATGGTAGCAAAGATACATTGATTGTAAGTCAGTGTACTCTGTAAAATAGTTGAAGATAGCAGTCTTGGAACCCAAGAAACACAACAGATGATATCAAAGCAAGTTGCCTTATTCCGAGGTCTTTCTAGATCATCCCTAGGAATAGCCAGTTGCATCATTCGCTCACTGTACTGGCCACTTTGCATTGGGTGGGAATGGTACCTGTTTGAATTTCCCTCTGTCTTCAGAAACAAATATTTGAGATAAATTGACAGTAGGCCCACTTAACTAAAGCTCTTTTTATCTTAAAGGTTCCAGCAGAAGACACTGTATCCAGGAAGTTAGCAGCAATAAAGTAGGTTCCCATTGTGAATTTTGTGCTTTATTTTTCAGGGCAAAAATAATTTTTAAGTGTTGGTTGTTGTCTGTTTGGCTATATTAATTTTTTAATTTTGTGTTTCTTTGACTTTTGTAATTACCTTTGCATGGATGTAAGTTTTCTTGACAAGTGAAAGGTAATTATGTGCCCGGTATACTAGTAAGTAATTTGTTATCTTAGGTTGCATTTCCTGTATTTTAGGAAGATGCTAATAGTCTTTAATTCCTTTGGATTCGATTACGAGTTGAGGAAGCTTGAGCTTGAGCAGGGTGCATATACAGGCTGTATAAGATGTACAGTGAGAGTCCCGTGGACATAAGGGCTGAGCTTGACCTTTAAGAGAAATGAAGTTGTTACTGCGCACAAAACAAGAGGAGGCATAAATGTATTTAACAAGAAGTGCTTGTGCACTGCACACCACCAGAATTATTTAAACAACATGTGTCTTTTTTCATCTTCCAGGCGTAAGGTGCACCCTAATGCGAAGTTTGTTAATGCTTATGTTGTATTTAAGAACGAATGCGATGCCATTAAGGCTCTAAATGAGTAAGTCTCAATTTTGTTCCTCATTCCCTGTTGAAGAGGTAGATTTACAGAGTGTTAAAAGATAAATTTAAACTACCTCCTCTCTTTTTCTTGAATCAGAATAAAATGTTTTTTCAAACTTAAAAGTGAATTTGCTTTTGGAATAATGCTATGCAGTGACATTGTAAATTAAGTAACACTCATTTCATTTTTAAAACTTTTTGCTTTTGGCTATAAAAGAAATGGAACAGAAATTGCTAGTGGATTTCACATCAGAGTTGACATTGCATCAAAAAGCAGTTCAGTAAGTAAGATATGACTAGAAAACCCCTTTTCTGGGTTGTTTCTTTTTTTTCTGTAACAAATAACTTACTGTCTTGTATCTCTTGTTTTCTTTAGCATGACAATAAACGATCTGTATTCTTGGGAAATCTGTCATATGGTAAGTCTAAAATGGGTTGTTATGCATCATTACTTAACATTTATGGAATATGTTGACATTAGGGTGGGGGTTTTTTAATTGATATTTAGGGTAGCATGATCAGGTAGCTAAATAGCAGTTTTATTTTTTAATTGAAACACCTAAAGGGGTTGTAAGTTTCAGTGAAGTTCTGCAGATTTATTGTAGCTAGAACTGCAAGCACTTTTAGCTCTTGTCACTTGGTGTTTGTTTTTTTTTTAAATAAATATGACTAAACTGCATAGGTCATCGCTTTCTAAACTGTTAAACATGTACTGGTACCTTTTTGTGAACTACTTCCAAGTGATACGCAGTGATGGCTTCTCATTTTAATGCTGCCTGTGAGCCACAGGGTGAGTGACTCTGTCCAGGCAGTTGCTGGCAATCAGTTGTTACCCATGTGGAGGTGCTTACTGGAAAGCTGAGGTCAGTGCTTGATGAATATACAGCTGCTTCTGAGTAGACTGGAGAGTAGATGGAGGGATTGCCATCAGGTGTGGGCCGTATGAGGGTACTAATGGAGTCAGGGTGCTTGGGATGGGCATCTTACGTGGAGGTGGTGGTGTGGATGTGTAAATATACAGGATGAAGGCATGCCCTGTGCCTACGGCCTGACACAGAGCCAGTGTCGCGTACTGCTGACAGTAACGCTGAAACAAACGTGCTTTAGACTTCAGCCTAAAACTTCACTCGTCTGAAAATCTGGATAGGTGACAAATTTGATTGTGGTGACATTAACAATGCCTGTTGTGTAAAGCATTTGTCAGTACTGTGTGTTCCTCTGCGTGTCCTGCAGAAAAATAGTTTGGATGTTTGTAGTGCTCTGAAAATTACTTAACCAGCTTGAACCTTTCTCAGCACATCTAAGTCCCGTTGCTGGAATTAAACCTGTAGTATTAAATTCAGCTTCCCCCCCTCCCTTAGCACAGATACGATTATATCTGTATAAAGCGATTTACCGTAACGTGAAGCATACCTATACGAAAAAAGAGAATAACCTGTATTTTTGTGGTGGTACATCACACTTGTCTGTTCGTACAGTCATGAGACTGACAAAGCCTCACACATCTGGCCATTATCAGAATAATTGCGTAGCTGCTGTGGTTGAAAACTGTAAATTCCTTCTCCTCCATTCAGCTAGAATTCGGGCCGTCAGTGACTTCAAGAACTGCCAGCTCAAGCTTATTATTGTCAGCATTAAGTCTTAGAGATTCTGGCGTAAGGAGGAACTACAAAAATGTAGTATGAATCTTGATTTCCACTATGTTCAAACCATAAGTGAAATTATTTGAAAAATTAATTTTGGTCTTTGCCTCCATTCTTCTTTGTGATTTTATGTTGTACTCTTCAAACCTAGAGAATCAGTAACTGTCAAAGTAAATAGCCCTTTATAAAGTCTGCATTGTTAACTTGCTGGAATTTTCTGAACCACTGATATTTGTGTACCTATCTGTATTTATATATTTAAGTATATATGTTTGTGTACCTGAATTGGTAAATACAAAATATTTGGATTTGGGCTAGGCTAGCTAAAGCTGTGTGTCTGACTGAAGAGGCATCTGTTTCACTGTGCTTGCCTGCAGACATCAGCGATGATGCTGTGCGAGAACACTTTTCTGTCTGTGGAGGTGTAGTAGCAGTGCGAATTGTGAGAGACAGGCAGACCGGCTTGGGTAAAGGCTTCGGCTACGTTCTCTTTGAGGTACGTATGAATGGCGTGCTTCGGGACACTGGGAATTCTTCAGAACCTGAATTGGGATTTGCCTTTATGGCCTTTTAAATTTTCTTTTTTTTTAGTAATTTTTTTTGATTTGTGTATGACATTACATGGTAGCGTTGTTGTATATGTTAAAAGCCGCAGATCCAAAGAAAAGCTGTAAAACATTGGGGTGAAAGAAATGAACTTTAAGGGAAAGACTTAGAAGAGGGACAGTTGAGTTCACTTGGTATAACTGCAGCGTTCTCCCATTTCTTACATGTCAGAATGTGAGTGAAATTCTTTCCTGCAGCCTGTTTGCTTACTGGCTCTCCCTGTTTCGGTTCAGTACAGCTTGCTTTCTCACAGCAGTCTCCCAGCCTCATATTCCTTAGTTTGTTTTCCTGCAGTCCAGTACCTCCCCCCCCCAGTTTCTCCTTCATTTCTCTGCCTCTGTCTTTCATGTCTCAGGTAGCTGTTTTATAGCCCATTTTCAAGTATCTGTGCCTCAATGTGTGGGCTACATGGGTGTGATGCCGTTTCTGAGCAGAGGAGAGGTGTTGTGTCATTCAATAAATAATAGAGTGGTTTGAGCGCTCTTTATTGTAAAATCTTGCTTACAAAAATTAAACAAAGGTGTCTTTATTTGAAAGCAAGCAACTGGAAGCAATGCTGCTTTTAAACCGCGTGTCTGTTCTTGTAGGATATGGATGCTGTGTATCTAGCTCTGAGACTCAATGACTCTGTTCTGGAGGGAAGAAAGATACGAGTGAAGCGGTGTGGAGAGAAGTGGAAAGCACCACAGAAAAGTCCAGCTCAGTCCCGTGCCCTTAAAGAGAGAGCTGATACTGCGTTAAAAAACAAGAGGTGCTCTAATGAGTCATTTGTTGGTGAAAAAGCAAACCCGTTAAAGAAGAGCACTAAACCAAAAAGACTAAAAACCACTCCCAGAAATAAAGCTGGGAAGAGCAAACAGCCGTTTGATAAAAATCAAAGGTACAAAAGCGTTGGTTACTGTTACAAAGACTGATGTGTACAAGAGCTTTCCGCCATAAACGTTGTTTGCTAATACAGCCGTAGTCCTTCTCCAGTGTTCACCCCGCGGTGTTCGGCTTCTCCCGGCGGCGGGAGGAGCTTCCTGCCCGCACCCCGCCGGCCGTGCCGCCGCCGCCCGCGCTCCCTGCCGCCTTGCGGGGGTGGGTGCTCCGGCGGCCCAGGAGAAAGGACGTTCCTTCTAGTGGAGTTGGGTGGAATGACTCAAAATGGCGACAGGACGGGCGGCTCGCGTGCAGGCTGGGTCTGTGATGACATGCACATCGTCACCTTGATAGTTTGGGTTCGGTTTTTTTGACCGTTAAGCTTCCGTTTACAACATTTCGGTCTCTCGGGCGACGAAGAGCCGGGGCGCGCGGCGGCTGAGGGGGCGCGAGGCTCCGGGAAGGGCGGGGTCCCAGCTGGTCTCGCCTGCGCATGCGCCCCGGGGGCGTCCTGCCTGCCCGCCCGCAGGCAGTGGAGGAGGCGCCCTCTGCCGCCGCTGGCTGATG